TACATCAATGTAAGTAAAATCAGTAATCTAACAGCTACTTCAGGACGTTTTTTTTTTTTTTTTTCACATAAAATTGCTGTTTTACCAAAAAAGTATTCAAATTACTTATCTATTGTGTGAGTTTTCTTTTGTCTTGTACCCAATTTGTTGAGTGAAATTGATTTCTAAACTGTTGAAAGTTACATAGAAACAAACAAAATAAAAATGAAATTTATTAATATTTTGACAAGTATTTCTTTCATCCTATTTCTGTTGCTCTTAATTGCACCTTTGAGGTGTTTATTTTACAGTTATTAAGGGATAGCATGGATAAGAAGTAAAGAATAGCCTCCCAAGGATAAGGGATGTGAGTTCAAATTTCATCAGTCTTAATTATGATATTGTAGAATAATGAATTGTGATAAAAAGCAATAAAAATAAGATAGAAGAATTAGTAGTGAAAACAAACAAAAAAGAACAACTCTGTAATAATTGACAATGAAAGAAATTTATAAAGATGAAAAATCGACACAGTCATTTCGTTTATATGTATTTCAAGTCAAAAAAAAAATAGTCTTATGTAGAAAAATAATTCTAAATTTATTAATTTGAAATTATAATTTTTAATTCATTTTAAATAAAGCGTTTGGGGGCCGATTGATTTTGATAACATTAACTGCGATTATAACTGATTTCCTCTGTATTTAGTTAATAAATTCTATGATATTACAGGTTGCAAACATGGCTTATATATAAGGACCTCCACAAAAAATGTGAAACCTAAGGTTTAAAATGAATTTTTCAAAATAGAAAATCTCTCTTGAAGCTTTTATTTTAGTTTTAATTTCAAGCTAATAGTTTAAATTCAAATTTTCCAATAAGCAAAATACTTTGCTTATAAAAACTAATTTAAATTGACTGGTAAGAATTTTTTTTTTGCTAAATCTGCTGATTAGTGCCTTTTTTTTGTCATCTTTCATTTGAATCTTTATTTGAGGAATGTTAGCTGATTTAAAGTATAATTAATCTGATTTGAAACAATTTACTTTAAGTTTAAAATATTGCAGAAATGATCTTTTTTTTTTTAATCCAACAGTATGTGTTGATGTGTTTGACTCTGTGAAGCCAGATCTAATGTTGTTCTACAGACTTTATCTGTAAAACATAATTGAAAAAAATGATGTGAGCACCATTTTATTTAATTTTGAAGTACTCAGTAATTTTAAAAATTTAGGAAAATATTCTCTGTAATTTAATGTTTTGTTAAATTTTATATATTTTGTCTTTAAATTTACTATAGTCATCGCTTTTATTTTCTGATAACATTGTGCTTGATGGCCTGTACATACAAAAATCGGCACATTTATAGATGTACAAAAAATTCAAAATTCTTTTAAAATATGATTTGCATTAAACTTTTCCATTTAGGATTAGTCAATATAGTTTTCACTTAATAATATAATCTAAAATGATGAAATTAATACAGAATTTTGAAAGATTTAAAACTTATCAAATTTTTTTAATTGAAATTTAAAAAAATGAAAACTGAGTCTGAAATTTTAATTTTTCAAAATTTCATAAAATTAATTGGGTGTAGGGGGTAACAGATGTAAAAAAAATAAAAAAAAATGTATTTTTACCAAGATTTAAAAAAAAAAAAAAAAAATTCCAAAAATTTCACTCATTTGTGAATGTCCTGAAAATTTAATTAAAGTCTGACAATTATTTGATTTTTGTAAGAATTTTCAAAACAATGTGTTTTTAACACACAAAAAGACACTAAAAATCCCTATACTAATCTTTGGCCCACCCACTGATGCAAGAAAAACAATATTTTTAACCAAAATTTTGAATGTGCTAGAAAGGATGAAAAAATTTAATAAAATATTCAAAAAAATACTTTGGACTTTCCTCTTAATGACAACATAAACATTTTGTCAATAAAACTTTGTTTTTATCAACTTTTTGGACCTTTTTCATTATGGTATGCTCGTTTTTAGAAAATTTTTGGAGGTACCTCTTTATATATATATATATATATATATATATAATATTGTGTGTGTGTCTTATTTATATACATAATGCAAATATTTCTTTTTCTGTTTTCCTTAATTACAATATTCACATTGTTGTCCTGCAGCCATTAACTGAGAAGCAGATATTAAAGAAGGCTTAACAGGGACATTTTTTTTTTTTTTTTTTAAATAAAACTAATAGCCATCTGATGGTTGTAGTAAAAATCAACAGAATTAAAGTGAACAAAATACTAGTTTAATACTTGAATATTTTATAAAGATGATGTCCATTTTCCAAAATATATTGGTTGGTTCTTTTAATATTTGAATAAAATTCTATAAATTATAGTAGCTGCTTTGTTTTCTTTTTCAACATGTCTGTATTGTTAGTAACTGCAGATATTTTTAGGACTGAAAAACCAGGCGACCTTGATACTGATTAGATCTGTTTCCTGTGATTATTGTAATTCAACCATTTTGTTTTCTCTGTCTTTATTCTATTAATTTTTTTTTTGTTTTTTTCTGGATTTAATGTGTTTTTTTTTCTCTTCTCTGAAATCTATTTACAAGCCATCTTCCTGAATCACTGACTTTTACCATTTTAGATTTAATTTTAGTTTGTAATTCTATGAAAGCTCAGCAATTGTGATTTCTGAGAAAAAGATGTGCAAAACCAACTTTTACAATTTACTTTGATTAAACCAAGTCTGGCACAAGATAAAATTTATGGAGCACTGATAAGAGATTAAGAGATGGACATTTTAGTTTATATAATCAGCATGCACTCCATACCAGTGGATAATAATTTTTTTTTTTTTTTTTTTTTGGGAAATTCTTTTTGGTTCTATAATTTTTATATTTTTATAATGAGTTTTCTTGTGTAATGCAATTTGAGATGAGAGGATGATGTAAGGAAACAAAAGTGGGAGAAGAGAACATTAAATTTGGATCCATTTCCTTAGAGATGTTATCATGAATCCCCAGGCCTGTGATTGTTAATCATATGTTTGATCTATAAATACCTGCTGAAGGATAGAAAAATAAGCTTAATTAAGAAAAATAATCACATGATAAATTTTAATTTTTCAACTCTTTCTTCTTTCCTCTTTCAATCTGAAAATCATTTAATTTGCCAGTAATGAATTTGCACACAATCATATTTTTATTCTAATTCAATGAATTGTTCAATTCTAAATAGTAAGGTCCAATATATTTTGCTAAATAATTATAACCATTTCAGAAAAAAAAAACCTGTCTTGTTGCTATTGTTATTTTATTACAAGTTATTTCTATAACCAGTGATCACATAGATTGGATTTATGAAACAAATACATCAAAAGTTTCATTCACTCTACTGATTTATGTATATAATGATATAATAAACTTTGGTAGTAGAAGATGAATGAAACTATGAAGTTGCTAGTTTTGGTCTTTCTTATTGTTGCAGGATGACTTGACCATTACTCCATCTATTTCTTACTAGCAGTAGAACCCAGCATTGCCCGGGGATGTAAGAGTAAGAGATAGATCAAGTATCGACCATCATAAAGACTGAAAAATAAAATTGACAAAGATTATTGTTTAAGGTTGACGGACACGCATGTCTTAATTATTTTTTTTTTTTTTTTTTTTTTTTTTTTTTTTTAAAGAATTGGTCAAACCCAAACTCAAACAAAATATTGTTTTCAATCGTTATGAGTCTACCGATTGAATAGAATTTTATTATAAACAATTGTCTTGTAAAATGGAATTTTTAAAGCATTCTGAATGTAAAAAAAAAAGAAAAAGTGTGCAAGACAATAAGAAACACTACCTGCCAAAAAAAAAAAGTGAAGTTTTATTGAAATCGGTTGAAAAATGTAGGAAATCCAATATATAAATGTACAGACACACACACATGCACAATCTGTGTTTTATAATAAGTAAGATTTAGTTTTAGTCAATTTCTATTCCAACAAATTAAATATTTCTGGGAAATGACTATAATGAAACATTCTAACATTTGCATTGTATGTTAGCAATTGAAGATGATTGTCTGTCATCAGGAATGGATACAATTTTAACTCACTTTTTTGGTGTGCTGTTATTTGTATAATTATCTCTATTTTGTGAGTAATTAAAAGCAGAATTTTAAGAGATATTATGGAATAAAATATCTGAATAGTCATGATTGAAAAACATTGACAAAAAAGTTTTAGGTAAGATTATTTTTGAGTGGAAAACAATATCTTTCTTAAAAGAAGACTAACTTTGGTGAATTGTTTTGACAACTGAAACAAACTACAAAAGGAAATTTACTTCTATTTAACAGTTTTCTTAGAGGAAACATAGTTTTCTTTATTAAAATCACCATATAGTTTTGTGCAATTTTCAATTACATGCAGGACTTATACCATATCTTATTAAACAGTACTTTTCCTACCCTGTACTCTTTGTTGAATGCATCTAACTTTCCTAGCAAGAGAAATTTTGGATTATTGCTCATTGCAACTCATCCAGATCAGTGATGTACAGAGTTTTGGTAATGCCTGGAGTCGACTCCTTCATTGTATGTGCCTAAGACTCAATTTGGGTTGGGGGGCTACTCTACTCTTGCTTATCAAAACACGGATCCAAATTCGCACCAGGATGTGGGACTGTAGAGGGCTTGGACGATGAAGTTGACAATTTCAAATTTCAGAAAATTAGATTTTTATTTCACTCTTTGATTGGATGCCCTCCTGATATGAATGCCTCCCCCCCACCTATTAATCTAGATCCATTTAACTATACAACTTGAGTCTATAGTTGATGACCTCCTTATACATAATGTCACATCGGATAACATGTAATAAGATACTTTTATTTATTTATTTTTTTTTTTGAAAGAATCTATATGGGCCACTAGATATAGTAATGTTTTTTAAATTTAGCATTAGTAGATGTTTATATTCTGTTATTTTAAAAAAAAAATTATTTTTATTTTATTTATTTATTTTTAAATTTTTCTTGTTTTCTTTTGTGCAGGTTCTGTGATGGTACTTGTGATACTCTTGTCTCGAAAGTGTAATATCAATCCAGATAATGTAGCAACACCAATAGCAGCCAGTTTGGGTGACCTGACAACACTCTCTCTATTAGCTGGTATCAGTCATCTTCTTTTTCATTCTATTGGTGAGTTATTATTCTAATTATTTCTTGGCTAGCTTTTCTTCAAACCCTAAATTATTTAGTCAAACTTTAGTGAAGATATCTTAAATAGCTCAGTTTTTTTAAATAAGAAACCAACTTAAAACTTTAATATCTTCTTTATGTTCATGTGAATTTTTGAAGAAGACTTTGATGAAAAATGCATCCTTTTGTTATGTCATTGTTTTACTCACTTGAGGTGCGTATTCCTGACGTTTTGTGTAATTAAAATGATTCAAGACAACAACAACGAAACTCCATATGTGGATCAACAAATATATATATATTGAAATATAACATACAAAACAATCATGCAATGAAGTGTAATGATTAAGGAAAAAAAAGTTGTTCCTCTTCAACTGTATTCTGATTTATGATTGAATGTTCAAGAGTTTCTCTTGAATAAGAATGTTCAGGATTCTATGTTGAATAGTCTGCTGTTAGAATACGGTTAATTAAGAAATGTGTTGTTTAGAGAAATTAATAGAGTGCTGTTTCATGAACTTGGCTGAGTCACAGAGAGAGATATGTATAATGTGTTACAAAAATCTGTGTCTGTGTGCATTTGAAATGTTGTGTGTAAAGTCGTAGATTTGTGTGGACGGGCGAAAATAGCTGGACTCTATTGGCAACTTGCGAGAAAGTCGGTAAAAGTTGTTGGCAATATTCTTTAATGTCTGACTGCACGGTTAAGACGGGAACTCTTGAAGATTACATCTTGGCAGCAAGGAAAAAGATGAATGAAGAGAACACAAGAGAGGCTTATTCATGTTTTGTTTATATAAGGTTGTATCACACATGACAGGCTCCAGCCTTGTGTGCGGGAAAATTATTCCTTGCATGCCAGCAATTTGATTGGTCGGAATTGACCAATCAGCAAGCTAGTTTTGAGGAGATTAGCCAATGAATGCTTGCCATATGATCTGTATGTATGTATGTATGTGTGTGTGTGATGGCAATGATGATCACTACAAACACATTTTAGGAAGATTAGCCTTTGTATAAAAAACTCTAGCATTTTTTTGTTCATAAATCTGTATTAAATCTGTTCTTATTTGTAATCTTTCCTTTTATTTGTTTTATATAGACATTAATCTGTATGAAATTATCCTCTCTAATTATGTTCAATGTTTTAAAAATAGATTTTATCAGGTATTGTTTTTGCTTTTTATTATGAATTTCTTTGGAATAAAAACTTGTATGATAATGTCTATAATTGTATGTTATTGATTTGACAAATAAAATATAATAAACCTATGTGAGAGAATTTCAGATGACTTTTTTACTGTGTAGATGATCAGACATTACAGAAAACAAAATTGAGATGTTGAAATGAAATTTGGCATATACAAGGTTTGTCTGGAAATGATCCTACCATTTTATATTAACAAAAAGGTAGCCTACCTATGGCAATGGCATCTTAGTTCTCTTCAAAATATTCTCATTAGTATCTCACCTCCTAGTGTCCATCAGTTCTGGGTATGACAATAAACTACATCCAACAGCAATGCCTCTGATCAGGAGGTTTTGAGGAGCATGGAACCACCTCTTAATTGCTGGTGTCCCCAGGTTCACTCTGACCTGGGGTGGTAGTACCTGTTAGGGTCCCAGCTAAGGGCAAATAGTTAACCCCGAAACTGAAGTAAAAAGCATTATAAAAGTGTAAAAATAGGTTTCAATACTAGAAATATTTTGTAAAAAGTTATCGCCAGAAATAAATTTTTGAAGAAAAAAATATTACCAGTAATATATTTTTGAAAAAAAATATTACCAGCAATACGTTTTTGAAAATAATATTACCAGCTATACATTTTTGAGGAAAAAAGTATTACCAGAAATAGATTTTTGACAAAACAAAATATTACCAGGAAAAAGTTGTCGGCATTAAATAACCCATTGAGGTTGATATGCTGTAAAACGAAACAAAACAAGCCAAATCAAAAATATGAGTAATTGAAAAATGGTTTAAATATATATATATGTATACATACACACCTTTTTTACCAAACTATCGCTATGAATCTATTTCAAAATTTTGTTGGCATTAAATAACCCACTGAGGTTGATATGCCATAAAACAAAACAACCAACCAATCAACCTAGTGCCCCTTGCTTATGGCCATATCATATTGAAATACCTGTTCTCAAATGATCATTGAGGTTAAGCAATATTGAGCCTGGTCAGTACCAAAATGGGTGACCACTTGGGAATACCAGGTTCTGTAAGCTTGAATGTGTGGGTGGTATAATGAATGACTTGGAATTGGAAGTTGCAATTCTAGTCGAGTTCATTATATTCACTTGTGTGTTAATACCCTTGAGAAAGGTATAAATCCACCCAAAACTCCCCACCATCCAGCTATGGGCTAATTAGTAGGACTTGTATCAGTAAATCATTATCTCCAAAAATTCTTACAATATTTTCTGGCATTAAGTAACCAGCAAAAGTTTGATAAGCTGTAAAAAAACAAAGCAGTCCAATCTCAATGTCCCTTCTTTATCTTCTATGTACCACAAAAGACAGGAAATTGTGGAGAGCCATGATCACCAACATCCTGAAGGAAGTGAGTAATCATGACTCTCCACAACTTCCTGTCTTTTGTAGCTCTTAGTAAGGTTTGTCTTTTTCCTCTCCTTCCTAGTCCCTGTTCTGCCATCTATTTACACGAGCTCATTATGTAGGTTATTTGCTGTTTTCCTCTGTTCCTCTTGCCTTCAATATGTCCTCTGAGTGTCAAATTCTCCAAGCCTTTTCTCTTCATATATCCTAGAAATTTCAATTGTTTCTTTCTGATTCTAAGTATGCGTCTTTTTTGTTCATAATTTCCTTAAAACTTTGTTGTTGCCCACATGTTTAATTGATGGTATTCTTAGCATCCTTCTGTAGAAACTTCTAAAAGTGTAAGGGAAGTTCCATTGTCCTTTACCCATTTCAAGGCAGTCTGCAAAAGGGATTACAATTGGCTGCTTCCTCACATTCTCTCTTTAATTCTTGATCATTGTCTGAAATCTCCCTTTTAATAAAAATTTTACCTTTGGGAAGAGACAGAAGTTACAGGGAGCAATGTTTTGCAAAAACTATCCCTCACAGAATATGAAGCATGGGTAGTTGAGATATACAAAATGTCTGAATAATTTACCAGACAATCGGTGGAATCCCCAGATCTTCTAATTATTGCATTGTCATTCACCAATTTTCTTTGATTGCAGCCTGCAGGCATTGAATGTTTTCAGGTGTTCTGTTTAAGTTCTAGAACATTGATTGCTTTCAACAAATTCCTGGTCAATTCAAACAAAATTAGATGTATATTTGTTGTGAGTGTAATGGCCACACAATACACAAGCTCACAGATTATCATCTCCACTGTGCACCCACATGGGAGAATGTTTATGCATATGCAATAAGGTTCCCTCAGATTAGTTGTTAATCAGAAATCAGAGCCATAGCTGGACATACATTTTTTGTTCCAGCAATGCAGTAGGTATTTTTGGATTAAGATAAATGGTTTCTGAAAAGTAGAACATTATATCTGATGAATAAACAGTTACTACTTTCTAAATAATCAGAGTTACTTGTTTCTTTCTTAATTGTTATGATCTAAATAATAAAGCCAATTTTCATTCATGTTTTTATAAAAAAAAAAATTTCAAGAAGCTCATCTAATTTTCCATTTCTATATAAATATTTTCATTTTCCAGCAAAATTGTATTTCATTATGACAAAAATTGTGTACACTTTATTTGTTGCATATGATAATTAAATTGTTGTGCTTCATAATATGAAAAAAATGAAAGAGAAATATTGTTAGGAAATAATTTCAAAAAATCTTTTATGCAGAAGTATTTCTAAAATACTTTATAAATTTTCTGTGTATTTTATTTGCTAGTTGTAGGTAGTTATAAGTGAAAATTGAAAGTAAGTCACTCTTATGAAGTTGCTAACATATTTCAAATTAGTTCTAAATGTTTTGTGTAAAACGTTTTTTTTTTCTTCTATAAAATGCTTTTAATATTGAATAATTTTAATCACATACACTTTGCTTGATTATCTTAAAGGCCTTTTGATTTCTATTCTAAAATGTAAGTTTAGTTCAGAAGTACATTTTTTATTAACTTTTTAAAAAATGTTTTGGAAGTTTTTGTCTAAAGACAAGTGAATAAATGGCACCAAAAGGAAATTATTTGATTGAATGATGTGTTTTCTATTTCAGAAAAACAATTGTGGTTGAGTCCGTCTATAATAGTTTCTTTTTTATTAATAACACCACTTTGGATATGGGTCTCTTTGAAGAATAAGTATACCTCTGAAGTAATATATTCAGGCTGGACACCAGTAATTTCTGCTATGGTCATCAGTAGGTAAGTTAAAAAAGATGCAAAGCTTCATCTGAGGAAAATTTGTTTTATGGTATTATCATTGAATTTTACCATCAGAATTTAAAGGAAAATATTATATTTAATAAGTAGAGGCTTGTTTATTTACTAAAGCCAATTTTGAATTTTAATGTAAGACCTCACTATTTTAATACTCTTCTAAAGTTTGGTAATTTTTAAAAAAGTTTTTCTTATGACTTCATTGAATTTTCTTAATACATGCTTATTACACAAGCATATCCATTTTTGATATTTTGGCAAAACTTTTATTAATTCTAACTTTTCTTTTTTTTATTTTTTGATAGTGTTGGTGGACTTATATTGGATTTTACTGTTGCCAATTATCATGGTATTGCAGTGTTTCAGCCTGTAATCAATGGTAAACATTAATTTTTAAAATTCCATTGAGTAATAATATTCAACAAGTGTTTCTTTTACAGTTTTTTAAATGCATTCATGACTAACATATCTACTAAAAAGAGTGAAAAGATTTTAGTGTTGATAGTGTACATAGAAAATGAAAGAGGCATCACTTGTTTTTTGAAAGTTAGTCATTTGATTCTCTAAAGTCAGTGTTGCCACACATATTAAGCAAATGTAAAGTAATGGTAATGGTGAGATTAGCTGTTTCCTTATAAAGAAACATCCAGCATTCATTGTATTACTGTCAGTTGAAATTTATAAAATATTTTCTGTTTTTCAAGAAAATAGGTTTTTTAAGATTTTTTCCTAGTCTTGGTGGTGTTTACTGTCCTAACCTTTTGTTTAAAGTAGTGTGCAAAGTCAACATATTCATTATGTCATTATTTTCTCTTTGTTATGTTCTATCCATTTTTACTTGCTGTTCTTGAAAGTCTTGTGGTTTCAGTTATTTGGTAAAGTTCTTTGTTTGTGATTCTGTAGCACCAATCTCTTGAGATTTGACAAAAGACAGTCCTCTTCAAGACTCACAGGATTCACTGGCTTGAATCTATTTTTAATCATTGGTCTGAGAACAGTTGTATGTAGCTGATAGTTCAGACATTTTGTGAATGAGTTAGATTCCCTGCATGACATCCACATGATAGTCTCAATCTGATTAAGAACATGACTTCCATTCTTACAGTTTGCAAGTTTAACTGTAAGAATGGAAGTCATGTGGATGTCATGCAAGGCATCTAACACATTCACAAAATGTCTGAATTATCAGCTACATACAACCATTCTCAGATCAATGATTAAAAATTGATTCAAGCCAGTGAATCCTGTGAGCCGTGATTTATTTAAATTCACTTTTGTGGGGTCATGACCATAAGCATCAACCAATAAGATACAGTTTTAGAGAATTTGTAGAAAAATAAATTCTTAGACTTGCATGGCAGTTGATTTAATAAATTTTCCATGATATAATGCCTGATAATGGTTCTTAATAGTTGTATGATGTAATGCCTAAGTAATGCAATAGTTATTGATATTCATAAGCAATTCTTTTATAGAAAGGAATTGCTAAGAGAGAGACTTCTGTTGCTCAACCTAGGAAGGAGATATCCATTCATATTGAAAGGAGTTAGAGCATTTTCTAGGGATAAAACAATATCTATTGCCCATATAACAGAATTTTTATAAATAAATACTGCTTATCCAAAAGTAAGGTTCAGTGCTTAGAGCCACAATGTAAGAACAGAGAGTATCTTTTGTTAAATTCTTTTCTGTTTTGGCTTTACTCAATCACAATTCAGTTGCAAACTGTAGATTCGACACAACATGAGGAAAGAAAAATGAGGCCAAGATATTCCCTATTAGGCAGATGCTTTTCACTATTCTCGCTCACTTTGTTATTATTGATGTTGTCACTTGATAGCAAATGACTCTGTTAAAAAATGTGTAACCAAGTTGCACATTTGCATGCGTGTTACCTGATTTATTATAACTGTTTATAGAAATGCAAAGAAGTCATTATAAATTTGTTTTGCCAGAAGACAATTGCAAATTTCAACAGTCATGATAGAGAAACCAAATACACATACAACCACAGGTCTTGTTTGAAACTGAAGAGAAAGTAATGATTTTATATCCTTTACCACACATACTTTACACCCTATACAAGACCATTCACTTGCATTGTACAATCTTGTATAACAAAAAGGGTTTGTGTTTCAGTATCACAACCGATGTGTTTACTAAACATAAGTTTCTTAAGCTTGTCCAACTTTGCCTTTGTTGTGTGTTTGGTCATAACATCTGCTACCATATCTGCTGTAGGTCAATAACTGGTTATTTTATCATTGATGAATATTAAATGAATAAAATGATATTTGATATCAACATGTTTATATCTTTGATCTTTGGGGAAAAGAAAAGAACAGTTGCTCCTGGATTATCATCTAATTTTTACTGGTGTATATATTAATATATTCAACACAACATGAGGAAAGAAAAAATGAGATCAAGAAATTCCCTATTAGTCAGACATACAACACCACACTGTGAACATTTACCTTGAGTAGCACTTGAGTCTTGTATGAAATGAATATTAGTAAGTGGTAATCTGTATTAATTGTACTGAGCACTATGAACATGTCTGGGCTGTATTATATTTATCCTGAAAGTAACTAATTCCTTAAAAGAAAATCGCACTATTCAGTAATAGTGGCTGACCTTTAATAAATGGAGCATACACATAAGGTAAAAATAAACAACTTAAGTACCTCTTTTTAAATCAGTGAATGAAAAATGAAGGTTGAAGGGCTTAAATTTAGATATTTGTATTATTTTGTCATCCATTTGTATCACAGCTCATCAGTGTGGCTAGATATCCGGTTGCCTCTAGCTAGGATTGAAACCCGATTGAATTGGTGTCAGTCGGAGATTCTACCACTAATCCGTTGGCGCATGGCAGGGATGAAGGTGAATTTAAGCGTATTTATTTTTAGATAAACACACCGTGACAGAGAACTCAATTCAATTTAACGAAGAGTCTTGCATTATTAGCTGTAATAGTCACTGTTTACAAACCCACACTTCCTCCTCAGAGAGCTCATCTGAAATAAATTTTTCAGGAGCATATCTCTATATTTGGAAAATATCAGGATCTAATTGTAAGAACTAATTTTGAATTCAAGTTCCAGTCTGGTCTGCTGCATTCATTTTTGCAAAAATTTTTTTGGAAAAGGCATGAATCCATTTCTTCTCCCTCTAGCTAAGTAGCTGAGTAGACTGGGCTCTCTAGCTTCAGGTTGTGACCAAAATTCTAAACTGTGGCGAAAGCAAAGGGAGACCACTCCACTCTCCTTTCATAAATAATTATTTATATGAGTATAAAGAAGTCACTGTCATTGATTTAAAGAAATTTATAGGCATTAAGTCTTGTATTTTGTATTATAATTTACTTTTAAGTGAAAAATGATAACAGGGTACATTTTTGTATGATTTGTTGATTTTTTTTATAAATCCAGCTACAGATGGTCATTATGAAACTCTTTTAAAAAAAGTAGTTTTATCACTTGTCAAGTTACTGAAAATGTCATTAAGATTATTTGATGCGGTTAATATTTAAAAATTCTCCATTCTGCCAGAATTATATGAATCCCAAAAGAAAGAAATTCCACAAGTGTTGATAACTAAGATTATCCATTATTTCATGTTTGTTCTCTTAGCCTATTAATCTGTATCTACTTGTGTTCTCTGGGTTTTTTTTTGTTTTGTTGGTAAAACCTTTGTTTGACACAAAATTATACTTTTTTAATATTCTGGCATATTGACTAACAAAATAGATGATAGTCTTATATGTGTCTGTTCACTTGTAAGAAAGCAAAGATTATCAAAGCATAACTTTAGCAAAGATTATATTTGCATACAGTTCCATGATTGGCTAATTTATCTGAACCAAAGTGTTAGTCGCCAGTTTGCAGCTGGTGAGTTGCACTGGAAGAATGTCATCTCCCAGGAGCTTCAGCAGATTAATATGGTACAGGAGGATTTTCCAATGATATGCCAAGATCATGAGAGTTGGTGAGACAAGGTGGATCTCATGGGCTTAATGACTTCATGGCATGAGATTTAGCAGCAGCAAAGTGTTACTCATATTGACTAATTTTAAAATATACTAACACCATTTTTATTTTTGTTCTTTCTTTCTAAATGATCTATTTTTTATTTCTCAGGTGTTGGTGGAAACTTAGTAGCTGTGCAGGCTAGCCGCTTGTCGACTGGATTACACAAAGTTAGTATACCAGGACGTCTACCAGCAAATGTAGTTAATGGATGTCCAAATCCTTTCAAAACTTTTTGTGGTTCAGGTATGTAATCTTTTAGAATTTTTCTTTATTTTCACAAGAACAGAAAAAAATTATTTTTAGTAAGAATAAATCTTTCATTCAAACAAATCTTCCATCACAAATTACTTTAAAATAGACAATTTACTCATATCTGTATGATTTCAAAGAGTATTTAAAATGCTAGTAGAGAAAGTAGCTGCCATATTTATTGTTTATAAAATTATATTTCACAGTTAGATACATCATATGTTTGTTTATATAGTAAAAATAAAGTAAAAGCAGAATTTTCATGTGATGAACCAGACTATTAAAATGTCTCTTTGATATAAAAAGACTTTGGTTTGTTAAAATTCTTAATCATTATTCGGATATAAAATACTGTTGCTTAAAAAGGACAGTTAAAAATTAGAAAACTGGGTAAATTTTTAATTTCAATTGAAAATTAAAAAAAAAAAACAGCTGATAGGCAATCATGGTCCTCCACAAATTTTCTTTTTTTATTATGTGTAAATTGCTACAACTAGTATTGCACTTTCTCACTGCCTTCTCCATGGAATTGAATTGAAAATTATCCTCTTTTTAGACTAACTACCACCCAAGATTAGAGAGCTTGGTTTACCTTGCTATTTAACCCATAACTGGGGGAGAGAAGAGTTGAATACATTTGTGCAAAATTGAATGCAACAAACTAAGCCAGAATTTGATTTTGGATCACCAATCCCATTTTCTATGTCATTATTTGTTGCTCTACTGCACATCCTATCACTGATAATAGTCAACTTAGTTTACATTGAAAAAATAATTAAATTTTAAAAGTTTTCTTTTAGGAATGCTAAAAAAACATTAAGCTTAAGAGTGGTTTGTTCTATTGGAAGAATGAGTAAACATGTCCGAGTTTAAAACATCATTCAATTGATTAACAAATGTTTAATTCCTGGTTCATTGCTGCAAATTCTTAAATCAACTTAATTGCAAGGAGAATGAAAGAAAAATGAAGAAGAAAAAGTTTATTTAAACTTGATAGATATTAAGAGATTTAGAAAAATATTATCCAAATGTTCCTTTTTAAATGTATTTTTTCTTTAAGTAATAACTGCTTTTATACTCTCATTGACATTGTATTCTTTTAATCAAAACTTTTTTAATTTTGTAATAATGAAATTGTATCAGATATTGTTGGAAATAATGCTTATGTCTATGATGTATATTTTATGAATCATATATTCTTCCATGTAATATACACGTTGTGTATTTTATAGAATTCATAGGCTATTTGAAAAATAAATCTTAAGTAGTTTTCTTATATTTTTTCCTATTTAAATATATTATTAATTGCTATTATATTTGAGGTACTGCAAAATTTATTGCACATATTTCCCTTATCTTACTTTTGTTAAAGTGTTGTGTATATTTTAGATGAAAAATCAAACTAGAATTTAGTATTATTTCAGTAAACAATAAGGAAAAAAAATAAGAAAAATGAATGTAATAGTTACCTCCCTTGCACTAGCAACATTAGATGGCAAACAGTGGCTTGTCAAAAAGTTAAATTTCATATCCCATATAAAATATCTGAAACAAAGATGCAATAAATCCCTAAATCTCCCAAGAGTAGGTACATCCATGAAAATGCTAAAAAATCAAAGTATTTTTTCATTATTTAATGAAATTTTTTACTTTTTTTTAGAACATTTGAAATTTTGATTAAATAAAATTTGCATCAGCAATTGTATTCACTTGTAGCATAGCAAATTTTGGTGACAGAAATTGGAAATTTTTGCAAAAATAAATAATTATCAGATTTTAATGAAATTTTCAGGACTTATTCACAAATGAATTAAATTTTTTTTATTAGAAAATCTGGGTAAAAATATTTTTTTTTTACATGTTTCAGACCCTTACTTAATTTTATGAAAACTTGAGAAATTCAATGAGATAATTTTTAGTGACTATATTAGTTAAAAGCAGAATTATTTGAAGAATCTGTATTAAGTTATTTTTTTTTTTGCAAAATCTATATTACCAATTTTTTTTATTTTTTTCGAAATCGGACCCCAACTTATTGAAAATCTGTTTGGAATTGAAAAATAAAAAATGCAATAAAACTACAACATTATTTAAACCAAGTCACTTTTCATGAGGAACTACAAAACATTAGACAACAGTGTCCAGAATATGTGCACATCTATACTGATGGTTCCAAAGACAGTGACAGAGTAGGATGTGCTGTTATTTTTAATAATGCAACAATTAAAAACGGCTCCCAAATGAAGCCTACATATTTAGTACAGAAGCATGAGCGACAGATATAGTCCTTGATGTGATCACCTAAGAAAAATCTTCAAAATTTATCATCTTTTCTGATTCCATCTCAGTATTAATATCTATCAAAAACAAAAAGCTGGAAAAGTCTTTGATAGCTAAAATATTGGGAAAAAATTCATGTCATCTCTACTTTCAAAAAAATTCTGTTCATCTGGATTCTTAGCCATGTAGGACTTAAGAGCAATGTTAAAACAGACGAAAGTGAAAACATGCAGTAAGACTAGTTCCTGAAAATTATCACATCACATATACTGACCTAAAATCATTAAGAAAAACATACAAAATCAATTGCAGGAATAATGGAGCAGAAAAATGCAAAATAAACTAAATACAATCTTACCAAGCCTCAGAAAAAAACCCTGCCATTATGGAAAATCCCAAAGGGAAGAGGTTACTATAACATAACTATGAATAGATCACACTAAAATTATGCATTCATTCTTATTGAAACAAAAAGAACCACCATGGTGTCCTACATGTCACACCCAATATACAGTAAAACATTTTCTAATTGAATGCATTGATCTTGACTCTCAAAGACAATTTCTTTCTGACAAAAAGACTAAAAGAACTATTTGAAAATATTAAAATTAAATAGAATTATAACATTCTTGAAATCAGTTGGGTTATATATGAAAATATAAAGAAACAAAACAAAGATTGTCCATTTTCTCTAAATATATGTCAAAATGAATAAGTTTTGGCATAAAATGTCTCTACAGAGTTGATATGCCATTAAAAATCTAAAACTTGACAGTCGCTGATTGTTCCAAGATGTTCATGAAAATAAAAGATGAAGAGACTGACATGATGGAGCTGAGTACAACAATAATAATTTGAAAAAAGTTTCTAGTTTTATATATTTAAAAAAAAAAGTTAATTTTATATATTTAAAAACAAAAAGTTAATTTTATATATTTAAAAACAAAAAATTAATTTTATATATTTAAAAACAAAAATTAATTTTATATATTTAAAAACAAAAAAATTAATTTTATATATTTAAAAACAAAAATTAATTTTATATATTTAAAAAAAAAAAAAAAATTTTATATATTTAAAGAAAAAGTTAATTTTATATATTAAAAAAAAAAGTTAATCTTATATTTAAAAAAAAAAACTTAATCTTATATATTTAAAAAAAAAGGTAATTTTTTGGGAGCTTCTAAAACACATAATGTATATAATTTTTATATATGTACATTATATATGTTCTAAAGGTTGTCATAGTGGTGGTGGGGGGTGATAGTGGGGAAAAGTGCCCGTTGTCTATAAAATGCTTCTGTGGCATGAGTCTTAAATAGCTCATAAAGTCCAGCTCTAAGATGGACAATGGATGAAGGTGGACAACTGGTGCCTCATAACCAGCTGCTTCAGGTAGATGGAGCTTGACAGACCAGGAAGGCAAGCCTTCTATGAGAGGGGAAGGAAAACCCTGATTTTAAACCTCCACTGCTTTGCAGTCATATCCAAACACAGAAAAGGCTATGGAATTAAATCCAGATAGAAAACCCAGAGTGGAACCCTGAAGGTGGTTGGCTGTCAACACTGACTTCTTTCTGGCAACACCTGCAGCGAAGCCAGCCCCAAATGTAATACTCTATTCTTTTGGATCTTGTCAGTATAGTTGAGAGGGGGTGCATGTAGTCTGGGCAGCACATGGCCTCCATATGCCATTGCCCAGGTCTGCGCCGTGGAGAGGTCATTCCAGTCTCACCATCAAAGGACTGAACAAACCTTTTATCTTGTGAGATAAGTGGATATCCACTTTACATATGTGTTAACCAATTCTGATCTCAGAAATGAGCTATAGCAGCTTACACTCCTTGTTAGTTTGAGTACAAGTATTTATAACTGCTATCTGAAAAAAAATTAATATATTTCTAAAAACATGAATTAAAATGTTGCAATTTCAAACATTTTACTTCAAAATGGACATATCATTAATTTAATAAAATAAATTCTTAAAGTTGGCCTTATTCAAATTAAATGATTAGAAAAACACTTGAGACATTACACTTAAAAGCCTGAATGCACTCAATCATAACATCTAGAAATACTTTTTTTTTCTCCACTGAGCTTCCATACACATAATAGTATCATGACTGAATATAAAAAGGTTTAATTGCTTTGTAATATCACTTGAAGTAAATTAGGAAGCATTCGTTATTCTCTATTCTGAAATTAAAACTAGACTTTAGTTTTAAAACTATTTATCTTAAAGAAGTAACTGCCATTTGTAATGTTTTCTGTCAGATAATTTATCCTAATGTCTCCTCTGTCAGCAAAGTAATTGCTTTTCTCAAGAGAAACTAAAAATCCTTGTCTTGATTTGCATGTATTTCTACTTCTCTTTACTTACATGAATTGCTAATTTAACGTATTTTTTTAATCAGTTAATTTGATAGTTTTTTTTATTATTATTTGAACCTTGGTATTGTATTTAAGAAATACAGGAAAATATTTGGAAGTGAGAGAACTAAAGCAAGTTTCTGCAGCACAATGTTTTTTTTCTTACATATTTATGTTTAAAGAAATTGTGTTAGAACAGATAAAATTCATTGCTGTTTTTAAAGCTGAAATTTGAAAGGTTTTCTTTCATTATCATTTTTAACTTAATTCTGCTTTGCTTATATACAGGGTGCGATGGATAAATTGTCGTCGAAATTATGCCTAAATGAAAATAACACTGACATTTCATTTTAACAGATATATTTACCTAAATTGCACTAAAATATCTTGAAATACTAAAGAGTAAATTTATTCAATAAAATCGCCATTGGTTTCAACCACATCCTCCAAACGACTTAGGGATCTCCTGCAACTCTTCTGGATGGTCTTCTTGTTTAAGTTGGTGAATGCTGCTATAATCCTTGCCTTCAGTTCATGTTTGTAATGGAGCTTCCAGCATGAATGCCAAGCAGTACAGCATGCTATTTCCAAATTTCTGGTGGAATAAATTGTGTCATGGTGCTCCTTTTCTCCCGGACAGTGCCCAACTGACCCTACTATACTGTGCAGTCAACAAAATTAAAAATAATGCGCATATATGAAATGAAAAATATAAAATGGCAACAATTTACCCATCACACCCTGTATTGGTTTAAAACAATTATTTGCATTAAAGGCTAACTAATAGCTCAGTGTCTACATAATAAAAAAAAAGTACAGCACATTTAAGAATTATAATAGTTTAATAAGTAATTAATATGATTAAAATGTTAAAACTTGTAATGTTTTCTTTTCAGCTATCAGCTCGAAATCTTCTCGGGTGCTGTTATTTTTGGTAATCCCCGGCCACCTCATTTTCATGTATACGATTTCTTTTATGATGGCTGGACACACTACTGTCACTTTTATTTTTGCCACTATTTACCTGATAGCTGCTCTTCTGCAGGTAAAACATTTACCAGAATTTTTTTTTTAAAAAAAAAAACAAGCTTTTTCTTCATTTTGAATGTGTTGAATGTATTTAAAAATATCTATAGACAAGATTTAAAAAATTAGCCTTGATATTAAAAAAAACCTACCGAAATGATCTTGACTAGCATGAATAAGTTTCATAAATGTGGGAAATATCTAAAGAATTCCTCAAAACTTTTGATATGAAAATTTGTTGAAAGATAAAATACAAAGTAGAAATAGTGGCCTAATTTTTTTATTATGATATATTCAAATGATTTTATTAAAGATTATATATTTCCAAAAGTATCTGAATATATATATATATATATATATATATATATATATATATATATATATATACACACACATTAAACATGAATTGTGATACACAAACACACAAGAATTATACACATTAATGCTGCTTGACAGGAAAATACACATGAAATCGTCTTAACTAATGAAAAACAAACAAAAATAAATTTTCTTTTCTCCTCCATATTTCATTTTCTAATAAAGCTTAAATATAAGCATATATATATATATATATATATATATATATAATTATTTTTAATTTATTTTGTTTAAACATTATTTTTAATAGATGCTCTGTTTTTTAATTAAACTAAAGGCTAAAAATAATGGAAACCTTATTGATAAAAACAAAAAAAAACCCAACACTCAATAATATCAACTATAAACATGGACACAATATCTTGACCATGTTTTGAAAAGGAAAACATTATATAAATACATACATACAGCAATCTATTTCTTGTTAGCAGTTAATATATTTCAACCTTGAAAATATTGTATAGCCAAATGCACTTGAATAAAGAGAACAATTGGACAGTTTTTATATAATTTGTCATCCAAAAAGAAAAAATTATTCGATCACATGAGAAATTGTATAAAAATCTAAATCAAAGCACCTTATCTGTTATATTCAATGAAATGTGCACATATATATATATCTTGTGCCCAACATGTTGGGTAACTAATGAAACTTAAGTCGCACACCAAATGTAGGTATATATTTCTTAGCTCTGTCTAATCACATTGAGCACTTTTATATCTCTACCTCTTTGCTAAATTTGGTAATTATTTATTTGCTTGTGTGTATATGGTCGCTAATATCTAGTTATTTCATTTACCTAATTCTATACACACACATATATATATATATATATATATATATATATATATATATAAAAAAATAAAAGGATTAAAAATGGTAATCATTAAAGGTTTTATCCAAATCTCAACAAGATTAAGTTCATGACAACCTTTTAATATAGATAAGGATAAATTAAAATGTAAACCTTACTTAAATTAGTTTCTTTTTAGGTATAACAATCAATCTATTTTAATCACTCATCCAAAATTCTAGAAAATATAATAAAATCAAGACTGCAAGGAAGGTGTTCAACTTTCAAAACAATTGGCAATTATTTGTAAAATGAATAAAACAAAAAATAAAGTCATTCTTCCCAATTACATTGCCAGAGAGCAATGCAATGTAGGTGAGAGAAATTAATTTATTATATCTATTTTGATACCTTGACTTAATGAATTTAAGTGGAGTACTGGATTAGCAGCTAGCTCTCATAATTTCCCTGTTGAAATTGCTAGTTGTAACCATAAGTTTTATATATATATATATATATATATATATATATATATAGCAAATAAGTTAAAATAAAAAGTTCAAAAATTTTTTTTGACATCTAAGTTTTGTAGAAATTACTTCATTCAACAGGAGTAAGATAAATCAGTTGAATTTATTATCAGATATCCTATTTAGTTTTTAACCTTTAGTACGTTGGAAGCGAAAATTGTTGTCATAGAATTCTCTCCCTTTGCACGCTGTAGGCGCATTCTGTTGCTTCGAAAAGGGTTGCTATGAATAAACACTTGTGAACTGTTATTTAAATAACAATTAAATGTTTATTCATAGCAACCCTCTCAAGACGACAGAATACGCCTACACCATGCAAAGGGAGAGAATTCTATGGCGACAATTTTCCTCTTCAGTGTCCTAAAGATAGAAATTACATAAAAAATGGTAATGTTTGATGCCAAGATTTTCATTTAATGTATTTAAAACTAAATGGGATATCTGCTAATGAATTCAATTGATTTATCTTATTCTTTTTAATTTGGAGGTAAGTTTTTAAAACTCATTACAATTTATTTTTTATTAATGCTTTATTTCTTCATATTGAGCATTTTATTTACAAAGACTGCTTGATGTAAAAATGTTATTTTCTATTAATACATGTGTTGATTTTTTTTTTTAATTTGTCACAAACAATATTTTACATACATGAATGTCAAAGTGGAAATAATTCTGTATAACCTGTTTTTACCTTTTAGGACTTCATCAGATTAAAGTAATGTTTTTGTTGATGGAATTATCTATGTGTAGGAAGGGGAGTGGGCATATAAAAATGTAAGCTTCTGTTATAATGTTATAATTATGCAATGACAGGAAACACTAAAGACGTTGGAACATTGAAATTTTTAAATTTTACACATATCTATCTCATATATATATATATATATATATATATATATATATATATAAATTCAAGAGGAAAACTATACTTAGTTTTTAGCAGATACATTTCAGCATCTAACAAGGCAAATGTGATAGTTTTATTTTGCAGCAAGTATATATTTGACAGTTACTCAAAATTTTTAAATTAAAGAATGCTCATAAATATTTATCAGGTTAATTGAAAAGTCAGGCAAAGTATGGAAGACACAAAGTGACACAATTTAATGTCTAATAAATGAAAGTGAGTAAGTCATGACTTTTAAATTTAAAATTTTTTTTATGTAAATTAGTATTTAAATTATTTTTGTCTTTATTATATATATATATATATATATATATATATATATATATATATATATATATGAGTTAAAGATTGAATGCAGATTGGAATCTGACAGGATGATAAAATAAAAGAACAAATAGGAAATGTGTACTAATCTAATGTTCCACTTTTATTAAAGCTTCATCAGAGATTGAGAGAAAAAGATGAAAACACCGGTACAGTGTAACCCGGATATAAGAGAAACCCGGATATAAGAGAGATTTTCTCTGGTCCCAAATTAGAGCCTATGTTAATGTATATAAAATAGACCAAACCCGGATATAAGAGAAACCCGGATATAAGAGAGATTTTCTCTGGTCCCAAATTAGAGCCTATGTTAATGTATATAAAATAGACCAAACCCGGATATAAGAGAAACCCGGATATAAGAGAGATTTTCTCTGGTCCCAAATTAGAGCCTGTGTTAATGTATATAAAATAGACCAAACCCGATATAAGAAACCAAACCCTGGATATAAGAGAAACCCGGATATAAGAGAGATTTTTTTTCTGGTCCCAAATTAGAGCCTGTGTTAATGTATATAAATAGACCAAACCCGGATATAAGAGAAACCCGGATATAAGAGAGATTTTCTCTGGTCCCAAATTAGAGCCTGTGTTAATGTATATAAAATAGACCAAACCCGGATATAAGAGAAACCCGGATATAAGAGAGATTTTCTCTGGTCCCAAATTAGAGCCTGTGTTAATGTATATAAAATAGACCAAACCCGGATATAAGAGAAACCCGGATATAAGAGACTTCTTCTCTGGTCCTGACAACTCTCTTATATCCGGGTTACACTGTATTTTCTATTATGTTTGGATTGAAAATATGAGTGTTTTCTGTCTCTTTGTCTGTTTTCTCTCAATTTCTGACAAAGCTTTAATAAAAGTGAAATGTTAGATTAGTACATGTTTCCTATTTGTTCTTTTATTTTATCTTATATATATGTATTTGTATAGCTTGAAATTTTAAAGTTTCTTCTTTCTCTCTTTTTTTTTTTTTTTTTTCCTTAATCTAATTATTTTAATGTTTAATTTTACAGGTTGCCTTACTAATATATATATCCAACTGGATGGTAATAAATATGTGGCAAAAGGGGGACGATCCAGACAACTTTGCCATTCCTTATTTGACTGCAATTGGTGATTTATTGGGGACTGCCTTTTTGGCAATTGCCTTCCATGTTCTATATTTAATTGGCGACCGTGATGCAGACGTCGGAGATTGAAAAGAACCATTCATGGTTTATTTGTTTTTTTTCTTTTTTTCTACATCTGCTAAACACTGAATCTTGGGGGAAAATGAGATTTATATACACACACATGCAAATTCCTACATACATTGGTCAATGTCTTTTCAGTCATTGAAAATGTATGAAGAGGGTGGAAACAAAAAACAAAAACAAAAAAAAATGAATAAAATTCTTTATCTCTGTTATGTTTCATTAACTAAATTCCATGGCATATTCAATTTGAAAGTGATGTGGGCAGGGGCAACAATATTGACCCGATGAGACCAGAACACTTGATGACATCCGTCTTCATTTAAAACTGAAATTCTTTGGATGAATAATAATTATTAATAATGTTTATCCTCAAGACCATTCATCATTGTCATCATCATCATCATTGATATTCTTATTAATATAATCATTATTTTTAATGAATTTAATCTTCAGTCAATTTGAGAATGGCTCTGAAGAATTTTTTCAACTCAGCTGACTCATTTCTTGGAACTAGTCACCTTTTTGGAGACATTGACAGACGTATAGAGTGGAGAAATGTTTGGAGCGTATCTGTTTGGGTATTTTTTCTTTTTATCCTGATATTATGTCATTTCTAATGTAAATAACAATCAACATAATTTTTTTGGAGGAAAATTTGCCAAATGTATACTTCCGCAAGAAGCCAGCTACCATTATTTTTAACTTAACCTCCCCTCTCCACCAAGAAAAAAAATACAAATCTGAAGGAAAAGCAACCTTCAGTGGTAGAAATGCCAAAGAGCAATTCACAGATATTATTTTTTTTTTTATTTTTTTTTTTTTGGGGGGGGGGGGGGATTTAAAATAATTTTACAAAATAATTTTTTTTTTTTGCTTTGTATTTCATAAAAATATAAAAAGAAAAAATATACTCCTTATTAAAGTCATATTGTTGCAATCTTTTTAAAATTTTGTCGTTACAGCTTATTTATCTTTTATTCTCTATATATGTAATTTTTTTATTTTTTTTATTTATTCTGCTCTGAGTTACAAGTAAAGATTTGATTTCTTTACTTGATTTCCTTGTTTGCCTCATAATACACATTCAAGGGAGTGCTGAAAGGTTCTCGGCTTAACCACGAAACAATTATAAAACCAATGTAGATGTTTGGCCATTTGTCTATATTTTATGAGGTGAATTTGATTGAAGATTTTTCAGCATCCCATGAGTATTTTATATATAGCTAGCTTAAAAGCTGCCCAATCGGTTGGTATTTAAACTAGCTCCTGGTTGGCCATCATCACAATATCTAGTGAGGAGTAGATGAGATAGGCATCAATAGACTACAGAAGAACTCAAAATTGATCTCTGTATTTAATTAATGTTTAAGCCTACCTTTTAAAAGTTCAACGATAATTCTTCTGCTGCCACTTAATTTAAAGACAATTTGATGTACATAAATCCTTATTTTCCATACAAACAATTATTTTTATTTCATGGGTCACAGAACAGAGGACAATTTATAAAGATAAAATTAATATAGTGTAAAGATAGGAAAATAGAAATTAGAATTAGTTATACATTCAACATTTGAAGAGTTAGAGAAACATAACAGCTAATTAAGTAAAACCTATATTATGGAATATAATATATTAATATATATTCTTATCCTTGCATAATCTGACAAGCCTGAATCTGAGCTCGACGAAAATTGTTCACTGCACCTAACTTTTCTAGGGCTTTTGAATGAGCTATGAATCATTGAAATCAGACCAATGGGAGCAGAGGAGTTGCTTAGACACACATGCACAAACACACATACATACACTGTACTTTATATATAAGATGGCTTTAAAAATGAACATTTTAAAAGTATTTATTTATTCACATAAATGAAAATATATTGAAAGGGGAGGAAATAGAAAGCAGAATGAATGAATATAATGAAGAGAAGAGATGAGCATTTTGTTAAAAAAAATACATTTAGGAAATCAGATGTATTATTAAAAAAAAAAAAAAAAGATTTAATAAACTGACTGATAAATAGGCACAATCTTGAATTCTTTCTTGTTACATTGTAACATGCCTGATAATTGGAACACAAAAATCTAGCATTATTTAACATTTCTTTAAAAACATTGTTTTAACAATCACTTACAAACAATCTACTGATTTCCAAAGTCTATATTTCAGTATTCTTATCTTTATAGATATATTCATTTTTTTTGTTGCTATAAATGTTATTTTTAGTGGGTACATGCGTTTGAGTTGGCATTGTGGCTGAACTGGTAGAGGTACATTTTGGCTTAAGAAGTGGTTTCATTGGTGTAAAAAAAAAAAAAAAAAGAAAAAAAGTCAAGCAAGTTTGATTCCTGTCACTTAGAATTTTATTTTACTCACCCTTCTCAGTTTAGGCTGGTTTTTATTGAGTTCACTGTTTAATAAAATAAAAAAAAAATGGATAGCAACCCAAACATGTGTACTCACTAAAAATAACATTCATAGTAATGAGAAATAATGTCAGATTAAAAAATTCTTTCAAAGATTACACATAATATTCATTCAAAGAAATTTTGAACAATGTAAAATTTGTTATTATTTAATACTAGTTTGGTACCTGTCACTTTGTTGTTGACAAGATGATCAACTTTCAAATATAAATTGTTTACTTATTTAAAATTACATTTATTATAAAAAATTTATTGTTTAAATCCAGAAGTCATATTTTGGCTTGTACTCTTTTCTGAATAATTTATGAAAATTTCAATAAAATCACTTTATCTGATTTTATTTTTTTTGTAAGGATTTAATTTCTTTTCTTTTCACCAACTTTCATTTTATTGCTTACCTCAGGGTAGGAGTTATGCAGACTGATTGGGAGAGCCATGTATTATTCTAAGGTTTTATTTCAAACTTAGTCAAATTGTGTGCATGTAAACATTAAAATTTAATGTTTTATTAAAATTCTAATCATCACTTTTTAAAGCGATAAACATTGCCAAGGGAGTCAAAAGTGTATACAGCAATAGTGGTGTCGAGGAAATAACCGTCTTTTTAACATCGTTTTTTTTTTTTTTTTTTTTTTGCAGACATGTTGGTTAAACATTGCTGATTTTCAAGAGTTATCTCTTAAATTAAACTTTACTTCATCCTGCCTACCAGAGTTGTGTCTCTTGATGATTGAATTCATTCCACTTTGCGAATTGTCAACAGGAATAGCGTGTTAAGCATCAATCTACAGCAACCTGAATCATTATTATAGAGATTACTGAAATGAACTACAGTGTAACCCGGATATGAGAAACACGGATGTAAGAGATTTTCTCTGGTCCCAAATTAGAGCCTGTGTTAATGTATATAAATTAGACCCGACCCGGATATAAGAGACTTCTTCTCCGGTCCCGACAACTCTCTTATATCCGGGTTACACTGTCCATTGTTTACTTAGCATAGTTTAATATTGTGTTACTAGAGTAGAAACAATGCAGAAACATTCTATGGCAAGCAATCATGATTTGAATATTTATCAAGTAAGATCTCTTGCACAAGGCCACGTGTGCGTTTTGAGAAGATTGAACTCTTTACAGTAAAAATAAGTTTGTGAGATTCTTTTTTTTTATCAATTCACTCCCAAGCAAGGCAATAATGCTACTCAGACGCAAGGGACTACTGGGAAATGAGAAAGAATAAGAAGACTTTAGAAGGAACTGGAAACCCAATCCTTAACAGGAAACAAGATATAAACTTGTACTCCTGTTCAAAAGACTTGGGTGGAGTGTGAACCGGACGATAAGCAAAGCTATCTACTCCAGTTGAAGGAAAATAAAATAAAATTCATAAATAGTAAATCAAATTCAGATGAAAAAATTAAAAGTATAGGATGGAAGTAGATTTTAGAAGGAACCGGAAGTACAGTCTTGAACAGGAAATAAGTAATAAACCTCTACTCCTGTTCAAAAGATCGGGGAGGAGTGTGAACTTTAGCACTGGAAACAGAATTAGCAAATTGCTCAAATTTTACTTGCTAAACATTGCTCTGCAATGTGATGACCAACAATTCATAGCATTTAAGTTAAGGCCAAATGAAAATTTTCAGTTGATTATATTTTAATTTGGTTGTTACTTTTCAGATTAGTATTTCTTTGTTACAATTCCCAGATCGTCCTTCAGTTAGCAACATTGGTATAAAATGAAGAGTAAGCTTGTGGTGAGATTCCAACTCGTATCCCTTATATTTGGGAACCCATGAAAGTCTACTTTGCTGATTAGACAGACTCATTGTTAGTCGATTCATAAGGGTGGTGTTTTCTAAGAACATTTTGGCACTGTTTTACTTTCTTACCCGCGGAAAAAAAGAAGAAGAAAAAAACGTGTGTGAAAAGGACTATTTTTCTCTTGACACCGCTATTATTTTAACTACCTTCACTACTCGATAATGTTTATTTGAAAATCGATGATTAGAATTTTAATAAAACCTAAACATGAAATTGAATTTATACATTTTCTTTTTTCTAGAGAATTTACAACAAAGATATTAAATACTATTTATTTATTAGATTGCTTATTTACAAGAATAATTTTATATTGGTAACATTCTAAAAACGAATACAATGCAATATTTATAATTTACCAATTTATATAGAAATAAATATGAAAAAACTGTATTCATATATTTATAAACATCTACTAAACTATAAAAATATGTGAGTCAACTATGTATAAAGAAATCCGTATTATTTACCATTTTATAAAGTTCGAATCAATTGGCAATTGATGTTTTGCCAACTATTTCAATAAACAGTATAATAAAAATAGTGTAAATAATCTAATAAATAAATAGCGTTTATTATTTTTATCAATTTTCAAAAACAAAATATAAATTCTCTTTCATATGTTTAGGTTTTATTAAAATTCTAAGCATCGCTTTTTTAAACAATAAACATTGAAGTGAAGGTAGTTATATTTTTTTATTTGTTGCACAACACTTTATTTTGACAGCTGTGCCTTAAAATACTGTTTACAT